CCGCCACCGGGACGCGACCCCACAATGCATTTCTTTTCGCACCCCCACCGGCCCACACTGCCCTGCGGCATGCCGCTGGGGGAGGAAGGGCGGGCGAGCGGCCCAAGACATGACTCCGGGCTGAGTGTCGGGATGCCGAAGAGGTACCAGAGGTCCCCAAGGGTTGATTGCGGGGCCAGCCGAGCACGAAGCAGCCCTAGAGAAAAAGACTCTGGCCTGAACCGGGTCGAATTAAGCGCTTCGCGCTGCTCTGCACCAAAATGACAGCGCCGATGTGGCAGCCATCTTGGTACAGAAGGGAAGTCGCCGTGCTAGTTCCCGCCCCCTCGCCTCGTTGAAAACGGAGGAGGCGGTCTCAGGCCCGGGAACCGGCCTCGCCCACCCTCCCCTCAAATAACCTCCTCATCCGCGCATGCGCGCCGGGGCAGGGCCGGGCGCCGCCATCTTGGTAAAGGACTGGAACCGAGAGACGAGACTTCCTGTTCCCGCGGGAGCTGGAGGCGGGACTGCCACGTCCGAGTAGACCTGGCGCGGAGCGGATCCCGGAGCTGGTGAGCATTCCCCGCTTTTCCCCACGTCCTTTCCAGGCTTTCCCCACCTCATCATAGAGACGAGGGCCCAGAGAGTCTGTGAAGTGGAGGAGCAGAGCTCAGAGCGGTGTCCCGGGCCCTAATCGGGAGGAGGTTCGGAAGAAAAAGAACGAGTTGGGAAGCGCGCGGGTGGGGGCAACATGGAATAGGGGCGCGGCTGGTAGACGTGCGCGGAGGGCGCGAGCGGAGTAAGCGGACCCCGCACAGGTATAGAGGTGATCAAGCGGAGTCACTCTTTCTGTTCCTCTGGTCAGCGTGATGGCCAGAAGCCTGGGGGCCCCCCACTGGGTGGCCGTGGGACTGCTGACCTGGGCGGCCCTGGGGCTGCTAGTGGCCGGACACGGGGGTCATGGCGACCTGCACGAGGACCGGCACGAAGACTTCCATGGCCACAGCCACTCACATGAGGATTTCCATCATGGACACAGCCACGCCCACGGCCATGGCCACACTCACGAGAGCATCTGGCATGGGCATACCCATGGTCACGACCACGAACATTTGCATGAGGATTTGCATCATGACCATAGCAATGGCCACTCCCATGAGAGCCTCTACCACAGAGGACATGGACATGACCATGAGCACAGCCATGGAGGCTATGGGGAGGTTCCAGGCAGCAAGCGGGACCTGGATACTGTCACTCTCTGGGCCTATGTGAGTCCCTAGGGGATGGGGGAGAGAGGGACTGGTTCTGGATTGTTGGGAAATCCTGCACACTTGACCCCTGACTCTCCCTCACCAGGCACTGGGGGCCACAGTGCTGATCTCTGCAGCTCCATTTTTCGTCCTCTTCCTTATCCCTGTGGAGTCAAACTCCCCCCGGCACCGCTCTCTGCTCCAGATCTTGCTCAGTTTCGCTTCTGGTGGGCTCCTGGGAGATGCTTTCCTGCACCTCATCCCTCATGCCCTGGGTAAGTAACTTCAAGTCACTACCTCAAATCCTATATAATAAAAGGCTAATATGCAAAAATCGCGAACAGCAGAACGACCAGTCTCTATGACGTGCACTGACCACCAGGGTCTATGACGTGCATTGACCACCAGGGGAGACACTCAACGCAGGAGCTGCCCCCTGATGGTCTGTGCTCCCATAGGGGGCGCACCGCTCAGTCAGATGCCCGGCTCACAGCTGGCGAGCGCAGCAGCAGTGGTGAATGTCCGACTGATGGCTTAGGCCTGCTCCCCACAGCCTAAGCCATCAGTTGGACATCCCCAAGGGCTCACGGACTGCGAGAGGATGCAGGCCGGGCTGAGAGACCTTCTCCTCCCCACACCCCCAGTGTGTGAATTTTGTGTGCTGGGCCTCTAGTCTTAATATATTTGGTTCTTTGGACAAAGGGTTCTTTCCCCTTTGTGATCTGTGGCCTTCCAATATTTCTGCAAATATACCCCGCTTGGGGCAGGTATTTTCTCATCTGCCCTTTTCTCCCCCTTCTTTCAGAACCTCATTCTCACCACCTTCAGGAGCAGCCGGGACATGGACACTCCCACAGTGGTGAGGAAGGGGAAGATGGAGACAGGGATTGGGGAGCTGGGGAAGGTCTATCCCTCCCAATTTTTCTGTACTTGAGGAGGAGTCTGGAACCCACATCTCCCTTAATGTCTCAATGCACCCATCCCCAGGCCAGGGCCCTATTTTGTCAGTGGGACTGTGGGTCCTCAGTGGAATTGTCGCCTTTCTTGTGGTGGAGAAATTTGTGAGACACGTGAAAGGAGGACACGGACACACTCATGGACATGGTCACACACACGGAAGTCATGGACATGGAACACAGGGTAAGCCCAGGAACACCTTTACTGCAAGCCACCTCGCTTGCCTCAGAATCCCTTCATCTTATGGCCCTTAGGTGGGAGGGGAGTTCCCCACTCTTATCAACTCCTTCCTTCTCTCAGAGCGTTCTGCAAAGGAGAAACAGAACTCAGAGGAAGAAGAAAAGGAAACAGAGGGGTTGAGGAAGCGGAGAGGAGGGGGCACAAGGCCCAAAGATGGGTCAGTGAGACCTCAGAATTCTGAAGAGGAAAAAACAGGTTCAGGTGAGGTCCAGAGTTGGTAATAAGCCTAGGCAAGGGACATCATCATGAATCACGTGGAACATGTGCAGTGGGTAATGGCAGATGTCTGGAAAACACGGAGGGGCTGGTTGTGAAGTCCTCTCTGGGGGAATATGTGATAATGACTGACCAGGGCTGGGATGGGGTGATGGAGCATCTAATTGTTTTGTCTTCCTTTCCTCCTGTATAAGATCTCCGAGTATCAGGGTACCTCAATCTGGCTGCTGACCTGGCACACAACTTCACAGATGGTCTGGCCATTGGTGCTTCATTTCGAGGGGGTTTGGGATTGGGGGTCCTGACCACAACGACTGTCCTGCTACATGAAGTGCCCCACGAAGTTGGGGACTTTGCCATCTTGGTCCAGTCTGGCTGCAGCAAAAAGCAGGTGGGTGATGATGTGCCTCCTACCCTCTACTCCCTGCTCATCCACCCCAAACCCAAGTCTGCCTCTCCTTAGTTTCAAACAAGTCATACTGTTATTGACAATAAGTCTAGAAATGAGGGGAAGTTCGGTTTCTTTTTTCTATAGCTTAGTATTTTTTTAAGCCCTTACCTGAGCACATGTTCTTTGTTTTTAGAGAGAGAAAGGGAAAGAGAGAGAAACATTGATTGGTTGCCTTTTGCACATGTCCCAACCGGGACCAAACCTGCAACTTAGGTATGTGTCCTGACCAGGAATAGAACCCAGAACCTTTCCGTGCACAGGACAGCACTCCAACCAACTGAGCCACATAAGCCAGGGCGCTTAATATTTCTTGAACTGTGGTCCATAAACCATCTGAATGGTTTATTGGGGTCTTTCAGACCACACTCCCCACCCTGGATTACTGAATCAAAAGGTCTGTGAAAAGGACCTTTTTGATATCTAAGATTTTTCAGAAAATGTTTATTCTAGATCCCCTCTTTCATACTCTTTTTTAAAAAATATTTTTTTATTTATTTCAGAGGAAGGGAGAGAGAGAGAGAGAGAAACATCAGTGATGAGAATCATTGATTGGCTGCCTCCTACATGCCCCCTACTGGGCACGTGCCCTTGACTGGAACCCGGAACCCTTCAGTCTGCAGTGCAGCACTACACCACTGAGCCAAACCAGCTAGGACTTTATCATACTCTTTTGTTTCCAAAGATACACACCCTACCCATATATACCTATATCCTACCAGCCAAGTCTAACCTACCGATAATCTTTAGATGATGCTGAGTGCCTCTCTCTCTTTTCTGCCCACCAGGCAATGTGTCTGCAACTACTGACGGCAATAGGGGCTCTGGCAGGCACAGCCTGTGCCCTCCTAACTGAAGGAGGGGCAGTGGGCAGTGAAGTTGCAGGTGGTACAGGCCCTGGCTGGATTCTGCCATTCACTGCAGGTGGCTTTATCTACGTAGCAACGGTGTCTGTGTTGCCTGAGCTGTTGAAGGAGGCTTCACCATTGCAGTCACTTCTGGAGGTGCTGGGGCTGCTGGGGGGAGTTGTCATGATGGTGCTGATTGCCCACCTCGAGTGAGAGGTGGGATAAACTGCCCCCACCCCAGCCCCAAACCTTTAGCCTCTCAGTCCTCTGGGTCTGGGGTCTGTGGAGGTTGGGGGCCTGGCCAGACTCATCTGCCAAAGGAAGGAGTTGTTTCCTAGGAAAGTACTGATTTTGGCATGAAAGCAGCAAGATTTGACAGTCTTATAGGAGCTGTAGGGATGAGTATGAGAGGCCAGAGGGACCATCGTGTTGGGCATGTGCTGACCATGTTGTTGGGTGTGGGGCACTAAATGGGGCCATGTAGAAGGCTGGAAGAGACCACTGATGGCGGCCTACGGAGTCTCCTACCCCACCTGTTCTCAGAGAACCAAGCTGCCACACACAGATTTCCCCAAGGTCCTCCTCCTCCCTCCCTCCCACCTGTGGGTGGGGGCTGCAGGGAGAGCTAGAGCCCTGGGAGTCGGGGCAGCAGGCGTCGCGATAAACATCTACTAAACTTAAATCGTGTGTCTTGATTTGGAGGGGAGGGGCTTTAGTTGCTAATCTCATTGCCTGATTTTTGTTTCTAATATTTTTTATATCGCTGTTTGAATCGAGGGGGTGGGGTGGTGACCGGAAATAAAGTCCTCGGATCTTCCGCCCCAAATGCATTCTTTGTCTTTTGGGGGGAAATGGGGGCCCCTCATCTTCCCACTCCTCTTGGCCCCAAGTGGCAGTGGCTGGCCACGCCCCCGCGGTGGGAGGTCGGCTCCAGTCGGTTCCTCTTTCAGGGCGGGTTGGGGTGCCCTCGGCCTCTGCAGCCGCTGGCCCGAATTTTACTAACCGGCCGGTTAACCTCTGACCCCTGCCCGTTCCTCCCGCACCCACGCCCGCGTGTTCTCCACCCGCAGGTGCGGGAAGCG